AAAAATTGAAATTCATCAACTGACCCTCAAAATTCTAACTCAAACGTCCTATTGTAACTTCAGTATTGAAAATGGTAAGACCGTTTTTAGAAAAAGCCCCGTAGATTTTTCACTAGTAGTTGAATGCCACTAGCATTCGGGTGCATTCCGTCGTCACTAATGTTAGTAGCTGTTAGATTAGTATTCACACACTCAACTTTTGACCAGGGAAATGAACCATCCATTTCCAAACACATTTTCCAGAGCATCATTGAAAATGTTTATTTCATTGTTGTTTTGATCTCTGCCAAAAAAAACGTTTTTCACGGGAGCTTTTTGCAAACTGCAACTATATGAGGCTTGAACTTTTTAATGGATTTCTCAATAGTTTCACGAAGTTGTTCACAAAATTCTTTTCCAGTTAGTCCCCCGTCAATAGAATTATGTCCCACATGCATAACAAGAGTTTAAACTTTTGTCCCTCAAGTATATTTGTCAACAAAATTATTAAAGTCATTTATAGTAGCCGATGAATATGAATGTATTGCGATTAGTGGCCCAAAATCCTGTTGATTAATTGTTCGTTGAGCTGTCCGATATTATGAGGTTTTTTGCAAACTTAGTGACGAATTTGAACTGAAATTTGTCATTGTATCGTTGAAATTTCGGATACTCTGCTTGTTGTTTTTGTTCTAGTAAGTTGTCAATTATTTTTTCAGTTTGTTTTTGGAAAAATTCTCTATCTTTTTCCAGTCTTGTGATAGTTTGCTGTATATCTTGTAGCTTTTGTTGTTGTAGACGATCTTCTTGTAGTTCTACATGCATTTTCATAATGGTATCTTCATAGAATAGCTTTTGATTTTTTCTTCCTCTAGCAATTTCTGCAGTTTTTAGCCTCTAGAAGCAGGTCTGCTTTGTTCATGATTGCTAAGCAAGTCATTGGTTTCGTTGAGTTACAATTTTTGTTGTTTCAAACTTTCATCAAATTGATACCAACCGTCAGTTTTTTTGCAGCTGCTTTTCCAAGTAATACCTTCCAAGTAGCATGAAAAAGGAAGGTGCAGCGGTTGAGTCGGAAAAAATGAAACCAACTTGATCCAGAAAATTAGGGAAATATCGACAGTTCTCCTCAGATGCGTTGGAGCGAAGTTTCTGGGACCATTATTTGTTATACTAATGAATAGAAACAATTCAGGTACTGGAATGCCCTGAAAAAAGTAAATTAGCTCCATATTAACGGCTAATTGGTTAAACATACATGCTGCTACAAAATGGGATTGTCATAATATGTTAAAAATCAGCAACCATACTGGCGTTTAAATATACAAATACAACTTGTATAAATGAAAAAAAACAATACTAATATCAGATATAAAATAATCTCGAAAAGAACTAATGGATCTGTCAATAGCATGTAATTTTTTTTGGTCTACTTCTATTAAAAAATTTTCAACTTAAATTTTTGTTTAGCTTTAACTTTTCTCAGCTTCACGTTTAAATTGTTCCATTTATTACAACTATTGTTTCAGACAATTTCTTTCCCTAATTTGTTTTCAGGAATCTGTTTTGTTTTATTTATTTTGTGCGTTCGCTTAGTTTCACAGGTACTCTGTTATAGTATTCCTATCAATTCCATTTTTCTCAGTATTTTTCAGAAAAATGATTTCGAAGTTTCACACATTGTTGATGGTCTCTTAAAAAATCGTTTAGGAGATTTGATGCATTTTTGGAAAACCATACATTTCAATTTTTTCTAGAAGATTTCAAGAGAAACGGAATTTAAAGCTTAAGCAAGATCTAGAAAAAGTGCATTTGTTCTTGTTGATTGATCCATGTCTTCACAAACAATTTCGGTAGAAGTGATAAATGCATCCGTCGCAGATTTAATTTCCTTAAACCCGAATTGGTAGACGTTTAATAACGAATTTTGTTTCAGATAATCCGTAAGTTGGTTCAAAAGCAAGCGTTCAAAAATTTTTGAAAGCGTGTTTGCCACACAATGAGGCCTATAATTTGATGCAACCTGTGTTTTACCTTTTTTGAAGACAGGGGTGATGATATATGCTTTTCTGAGGAATGACGGAAACTTGTATTATAATTTCATTTATTGTGAATTGGAGGTGTGTTATTGAAAAATCCGATAGCAAGTTTAGCTTGTTGAAGGCAAAAAGCTTGTATACCATTGGCCCTTGAGGTTTATTCAACGGGGAATTATCTAATTCTTCCAAAATTTCTTTTCTGGTGACGCAACGAAAATCAAATACAGCATTAGTATTTTCTTTTGTTTTTCTGGGTACATGTTCACAATTAAAAACGCCTAATTTTGAAAAAAAAACTTGATTCAAATGATTTGCTATTTCAGTAACAACTTTTGTTTTTTTTTTGCCAATTTCCATATTTAATTCGCTTATAAATACTGACTTTTAATTGCACTTTCTCCCTAGCTTTTTGTTTAGGAAATCCCATTGTTCTTTAATGTTGGAAAGATGCTTAACATTTTCCCTGTGATATTTTTGTGAAGTAATTGCCAATTTTCGGTTGACCAAATTTCTAACCTCTTTGTACTCTGTGCGCTACCACACAACCAGTGTTTTTCAATATATTGAAACACCTATGTTTAATGTTTATCAGAGTTATCAAGGATTTATCAATCCATGGTTTTTTATTTTTGGTTACCGGTTTTTCGTCTATATGGAGCATGCGCACTTATAAAATTTTCAACAATAAGTCCAAAAGTCTCAATTGTTTCTGATCCCGAGGATTTTTTATATATTTCTGATCAATCAAAAATTGCAAAGTCTGAATTTTCCGCGATTTAATTTATGGAAATCCCTTGTCTCACATTCAAAGAAGTCATTTATTGGCTTGCAAGAAAATGATGCTTCATATGTAAGCATATAGTGGTCTGTGTTGAATGGCAATTCGTAGGAACTAACATAATTTATTTGGTTGTGGGAAACTAAGCAATGGGCGATAAGTGAGACATTATTATCTCTTACACGTGATGGTTTAGTAACGTTTGACATAGCTAAACCACAACTTACAGCAAAGTCGTAAAGTTTTTTATGACACGTTTTGTTTTAAAAGATCTATATTGTAGTCTCCAAATACAAAAACTTCCAAACGCTTGAGAAATTTGACCACCTGATTCGTCAAAAAAGTACTGAGAGAGGTTTTTTCTTGAGCAATACAAAACAATAATCAAAGTTTTTTGCATACTTGATGACTCAGTTTCAACCCATAATGACTAAAAAAACTTTCTGCCAGCAGTCATGAGATCTTTACATATATGCATTTTGAATTATAAAGGAGTCCAAATTCCAAGACCTGCCCCTCTTTTAAGACTTGTGCTTGCGGAGCGTGGAAGATGAACAAAATAAGGCCTTGAGCTAAGAAAAGTGTTTCCTTTTAATTTGTTATTGAGCCATGTTTCTGTTGCTACAACTATAGTGTTCATCGAAAACTCATCTGAAAAATCGACAATTTCATGATATTTGTTTTGCAAGCTTCTGAAATTTATCAAGCAAAAATTGACTTTCTTGGATTCACCTTCAGTTTCGAAACGTTCATAAGATAGTTCTTGCAGTTCATGAAAATGACCAGGATTTTCCTCAATGTCTCCTGAGAGGACTAAATGAGTTTTTTACCATATGCAAAAAACTTAAGTTGAAATAATACAATAGTACATACAGTTAAAAATAAGTCCGGTATTTGATTGTGTTATTTCCCTTGAGTGGTTGAAAGTTTGAGTAAATAAAGTTTTGCAAAAAAAGGTTGTTTTTGTTGTTCAATTCCTGAGCCAAACACAAAAACTGAAAAAGCGGCAAAAAAATTGAAATTCATCAACTGACCCTCAAAATTCTAACTCAAACGTCCTATTGTAACTTCAGTATTGAAAATGGTAAGACCGTTTTTAGAAAAAGCCCCGTAGATTTTCCACTAGTAGTTGAATGCCACTAGCATTCGGGTGCATTCCGTCGTCACTAATGTTAGTAGCTGTTAGATTAGTATTCACACACTCAACTTTTGACCAGGGAAATGAACCATCCATTTCCAAACACATTTTCCAGAGCATCATTGAAAATGTTTATTTCATTGTTGTTTTGATCTCTGCCAAAAAAAAACGTTTTTCACGGGAGCTTTTTGCAAACTGCAACTATATGAGGCTTGAACTTTTTAATGGATTTCTCAATAGTTTCACGAAGTTGTTCACAAAATTCTTTTCCAGTTAGTCCCCCGTCAATAGAATTATGTCCCACATGCATAACAAGAGTTTAAACTTTTGTCCCTCAAGTATATTTGTCAACAAAATTATTAAAGTCATTTATAGTAGCCGATGAATATGAATGTATTGCGATTAGTGGCCCAAAATCCTGTTGATTAATTGTTCGTTGAGCTGTCCGATATTATGAGGTTTTTTGCAAACTTAGTGACGAATTTGAACTGAAATTTGTCATTGTATCGTTGAAATTTCGGATACTCTGCTTGTTGTTTTTGTTCTAGTAAGTTGTCAATTATTTTTTCAGTTTGTTTTTGGAAAAATTCTACATCTTTTTCCAGTCTTGTGATAGTTTGCTGTATATCTTGTAGCTTTTGTTGTTGTAGACGATCTTCTTGTAGTTCTACATGCATTTTCATAATGGTATCTTCATAGAATAGCTTTTGATTTTTTCTTCCTCTAGCAATTTCTGCAGTTTTTAGCCTCTAGAAGCAGGTCTGCTTTGTTCATGATTGCTAAGCAAGTCATTGGTTTCGTTGAGTTACAATTTTTGTTGTTTCAAACTTTCATCAAATTGATACCAACCGTCAGTTTTTTTGCACGTGCTTTTCCTTCCCCCCACCTGCAATTTTCACATTATTTATTGTTCACATCGTCCGATCCTTATGAAAATCGAAATGCGGACTAATTAAGCTAATTCAAACAGATTTGGTCTTTATAATTAACCTTGTAAAACCACTCGTTACACCATAAAATTGATGGTTGTGTGAGGTGGGGGAAAATAAAAAGAGCCCAACTTTACCTGCTGCGTGATTTGGATTCATTTCGTATGCCTTCTGGGCATAGATTAGAGCCTCTTCGAATAAATTCAACTGTTCTGGCGATTTCAGTGTTTTGTCTCTTGCATTGCACCAACAGGCATAGGACAGTCTCCACACTAGCTAGGCACAAACATCTGATAACTTAAGGAATTTACCAGCTGTTGGCAAGAACCAAACCAAGCAATTGGCTGCTGAAAACCTCCCTTGTTTTCTAGACGGAGCTAAGCTTCATAAATCGCACTAAATTGACCGAAATTATTAGAGATAAAACACATCAAACTATGCTGAAAAAATATTCCACAGTGACGTATCGTTTTCTGGGGGTAGAAATCTCTCGAAGTGCGGGCTCTTATAGACAACCGAGTAATCCTACTCGTCAGTAAGTAGGCAAATACCACATTAAACAATCAGGGTCGAGATGGGAAAACGAACTTTCGAAAAAAAATATTATTTATTAATTTCTTCCTTGTCTCGATTCTGATTGGCTAATACAGTGTTTGTCTGCTTACTGACGAGTAGGAATACGCGATTCTCTAAATATTGCTACGTAACCAAATCTCTCATAGTTCAGATGATTGCTTGGAGTCGAGTCAACAATGTACTGATATGCAAAAAAGAAACGAGCATTTTTCAGTACCTCGAAATTAGCAGCATCATCCTTCAGCAATTCCCGTAAATCACTGACTGCTTTATCATAGCTACCAGCTCGCAATGCCGAGTCCACTTGCTCAATCACAGAAAGACTTGAGTTAATTGAATTAGCTTTTTTATAAGAGAAGATGGAAGGAAAAGTAAATAGAAGTGATATGGATTGGGGAATGAACTGGCTACGTTTCAGGATAAGTGCTCTAGAAACATTCTGACACCAGTTCGGCTGAAATTTGTAACGAAGAGGAATTTTCCTGACAGCCAGAAGAAAATTCAATTTAGACAAACTAAATGAATAGCTCATTGGTGATCTGAAAATGAAAGACGAAAGATTACCAGGAAACGAAAGATATCTTAAACCGAACACAGGTAACGCTGCGAGTAATACCTTCCAAGTAGTATGAAAAGGGAAGGTGCAGCGGTTGAGTCGGAAAAATTCCAAACCAACTTGATCCAGAAAATTAGAGAAATATCGACAGTATCTCCTCAGATGCGTTGGAGCGAAGTTTTTGGGATCATTATTTGTTATACTAATGAATAAAAACAATTCAGGTACTGGAATGCCCTGAAAAAAGTAAATTAGCTCCATATTAACGGCTAATTTTGGAGCTCGAGTAGTTAAAGGCAAAGAATGGCCAATTTATCATTTGGATCCAATAAGCAACTGTCACAAAAGTAGCATCAAAATTGAGTTTAGCTTGGTTTTAAGACATAACCACTGTGAATACGGAAACCCAGCCATTCTTGTTCTACATAGAATCGAAAGTTAATAAGCCTCGTTTGGCTGACAGCCTAAAAATTATAATAATATAATAATAAAAACAATAATACAGAATTTAGGGCAAACGTCCAAGGGATATTAGTCACCAGCTAGCTCGTATATTTTGCGGTGTTTCACTTATTTCGACAGACGGTTTCCACTCGATGCTGAATTTGCCTTTGACTATAACAATCAAAACGTGAAGTTCGTACATTTCGTGGTAAAGTGACAAGGGTAGAAGCGACAACCTTTTTAGTCGTTCTTTATATCCCAATCTCTTAGTTCACAGGATCCACTTTGTAGCAGTTTCTTGTACCTTTCCGATCCTTCTAAGATCCACTTTGCATGCCTTCCACAGAATGGCAGCATATGATATAATAGGAACTATGTAACTCCGAAATAGATTCTCTTTTGCCTGCCAATTTGTTCCTTTAGCTATACTGCACTTGATCGTGTACAGGGTTTACGAGAAATCTACAGTTTAGCTACTAGAGACTCGAAACCAACCATTAGTCGACTCAGAAAACTCGCACTCGAACTCGCCCTTCAAATACTCGAATGTAAATAATCCATGTAGGCGCCATGTCTTTATGAAAATCGGATTGTTCACAACCTTTCTTAATGGCAAATTGGACACATACACGAATTGGGCAGCATGACATACATTTTTCTCTTCTTTTCCCGAGCGGTTTTCAGACACAAACGCCGTTGTTATAGAAGCCTGCATCGAACTCACAGGAGCGCTTTTTTGCAGGACTTCAAATGATTTTTAAGTGATGTTGTATTGCCGTCTGTTGCTTTGATCACGACTTTACAATGAACACATTGTAACTCGAAATTAGGAATATATTACTCGAAATCGAAATAGCTTACTCGAACTCGGCCCGAATACTCGGTACTCGACTTGTAAACCCTGATCGCGTAGAACGCTTTAATGGCTTTTTCACAACGCGTTCCTCAACCCTCGAATAGATCAAAATTAACTGGCTACGTAAAAACGATGGGAACAAGTAGAAATAAAGCATCGGACGTCAGCCAGTGGTCAAAAAAATTTTTTCCTGCTTTCCGTTGCTGTATTTTTTCGTCGATTTTTACAATACGTTACAAAGAGAGCAAATAACTGAAAAAATTTGTGCACAAAAGTTTTGGGGCCCCAAGACTTCTGGCTGGGAAAACGCGTAAAAATCAACCAACCAGCTTTCGAATCACATAACTACTTTAATTGAAAAAATGGACTGAATTTCGGATCATAGCCACTAGGATTGATGAACACCGAAGAAGACTCCCCAGTATTTGCTAGATTGCATTAAGGTAGGCGGTACTGCTAAGCTTAAGTCAGAGATTTTAGCTCAAACAGGCAACACTCATTAGCTACTCACACTTGATATTTTGCATATTTGGAGGGAAAAGCGGAAAAATAACATGGGCGATGAACTCAGGCGCTGGGAACTAACGCTAAAAATATAGTTCAAGTATAACATGGCTAAATTTTAAAAAACTGACATGTAAGAATCAAAAATAGTCCCAAAACGAAATGTTATAGCTAAAAAATCTCAGAAAATTACAGGAAAGTGTTATTAAAGATTGCGTAATTCTGTATCTGATTAGTTGTTTAAATTTAATTGGTCAGAAATTTTAAGAGCATTTTTGGCACATGTTTGCCCCTTTTGCCAAATCTTTGATCGTACTGTAAATATTGTAAAAAAATTTATTCCTGATGAGGCACAAAATGTGAAAACGTTTGAATTAACATCTTGAAAATCTTGTAAGTGAGCGTTATAAGAAAGTAATAAATTTATCAAAACACAAGTCCCTAGCATCAAGTTTAGTCTACTATAAAATTAATTGGACATTCTCAACAAAAAAAAAACAATAAATGCGCAAAATTTTCGAAGGATATCTTAACTTTTGAAAATAGAATAAGAAAAATATTTCAGTTTGAAAAAGATAAGTTAAGCATTCAGAATACATTCATTCGCAAAATTTCGCACTAAGTTCATATAGAATGTATCTTTCTAATGAAGTTGTTAGCAAATTGGAAACTATCAGAGATTCCTACAGTAATTCTGTACTTCCAGCAAAAATTGGCAAAATATCAACCACACCAAGAATGAAACAAAAAAACAATAAGCAAACTACGGTCCTCAAATGGCCGATATGTTACAATTTGAAGAATAAAGTGCAAGACCGTATTTTTGAGACCATTTTTTAGTTTTTTTAATGGAGCAAGCTGGTGGTGACTGACATGTCTACTATATTTGAGATGACCATTGTCCTCAAGTCAAGAGTGGTTTATAAATTGCATGAACACTTGTATGAACACTGTACGAACACTCTCGTATCTCAGCTCCCGTTGGTGAGCATTTCTCGCAAGGTACTGGCAACAGCAGCAACATCTCAGCTAAAATTATTGACAAATCAAGTGACACGGTGAAACTTTTACCTCTTGAGGCCTTACACATCAAAGCAAGAAACCCATCATTAATCGTAAAGAGGAGTACCACACATGATAACTCACAATAGGGGTGTAAAGTTTTCATTGTATCATCGTTTTGATGACTTGATAACCTGTTTTCATTCTTCTGTTTTTTATTTGTCATGCCTCGTTTCATATTTATCTGTTTTCGGTTTCCATGACATTTCTCATGTCTTGCTCTTTCCCTAGGTACATGAGGTTTGTACAATCAACTGTTTGATCTTTTTAGACTGATGATGATTTGTATTGATCGAAAGTGCTTTCAATAAAGTTCACGCATTGATTGTTTTTCTTGAGGTTTTATAAACTGCCATGTAGTGAATGTACATATCTCTATGTCCGACAAACTGTTCGTTATTTGACCACCAGAATTGAGGAAGATTGAAGAAAGCAGAGACGCCAAAGGACCTCCGTCTTCAACAATGCAGACTTGAGCGGAATAACTCAGATGTTAGTTGGAAAAATTTAGATAGGTCGAACAACCAAATAAAACTATGAACAAAAGATGCAATTAATATCAGGAAGAAGAAGCCGGGCTTGAACACGCGCGAAGAGTTTAAAAAAAGGGATTTGACATTGAAAACTTAGTCCCAAATATTTTTTGGCTTTTTAGTCAAAAACCTACATGTCTAATTCGAAACTATGACTCGGAAACTTCCAGACAAAGTTAAATTTTTTTAATCTAAGTTATAACCTAGAGGTCTTCTGTGATTGGCTAATTTTTTAGCATGATGGTTCAGAACCAAACCAAAATTTAAGTTATTCTTCTTAAAATTTGCAAATTGATGTTTTATTTTCATTTAGATTAGTTTATTGAAAAAATCCTGACAATGCACATGGCTAGGAAAACGTTTGAAATTTAATTCTTATCGAAAATTCTTTTGGTGACTGAATTGTAATTCTTTTGCGATGCTCAACGCACAATTTGGGTTATGTTGAGCGGCTATATATATATTTTTTCTATTTCGGATAGAACATATGGATTAAAAAAGCGAAAAATCATCTTTGGTATTGCAAGCTCAAAAAATTTACCAGTGAAAAACGAAACACTTGTAAGGATATCAATTCCACTGGCAAACATGAAATTTGGTTGTTAAAAGCTGTTGAAAACCCATTGAAACAAACCAATTGGTCTTTGAATTGTTTATACAAGATCAAACAGCCGACGTTAAGTCGATTTAAATTTTCAAACTGTCGTTCGGAAATGGAAGCAAAATCTTCAAGACACAATGAAAAGTAGTTTTGGGAATTTCTGAAAAATGGCCTAAAAAGAAGACGATCAATTATAAAATCCTGAATCTCAATTTTGAAAGTAATTGGTTTTTTAATCAAAATATGGTGGAAGAAGACCTTTCGACCGCATGTTTGTTCGTTTCAGAATCTGAAACAAAAAAATATGCAATCGAAAGGTCTTCCCCCACCATATTCTGATTTAAAAAAAAAACAATTTTTAAACTAATAGGTTATTTAATCAAATTGTGTTGTTTAGATTTGACTTAAGATCGGTGATGAAAAAGAAAAACAGCATTGTTTGATGACCCTAAAATTGAAGGGGATTTACTCCTGATTAAGTCAAAAACCTTGAGTCAGTGTGGGGTAAAAACAAACATACGGCTTATGTTGCCCATGAGGAACAATTTTAAATTCTTTGGGCTATAACACAATCATGACAAATTCCGTTAAGTTATTTGAATAATTTATTTTGATCATTGATAATGCTTCGGATGCTTTTACGCAAATAACTGTAGTGGATGACTAAAACATAATGTTTTGAAATAAGAGTAGATTTTTTGGTTTGAAACAACCTATAACAAAAATCAGTTTGCTTCACTGCATTTGGCAAATATCAACTGTTGCAAAAAAAAACGCCGACAGCAGTGACTATTTTCAATAAAAATTACTTATCAAATTTTGACTCCCCTTTTTTAAGACTCAGCTGCTCCTTGGCTCTAATTATTTTCAAAAAAGCGCAAAAACATGTTTTTTCAGGACTGTTACATCAACTTATCTTCAGCGACATTCCTTAGTCGAAAGGAACTTAGTTTGTGAAGTTTTATCAAAGATTGTGCTA